ATGTCTCCATCAACTGGGACACATGGCAGCAATGGCATTTGTTGTTGAGCACGCCAGGCTTCACATGAGATGCCTACAATCCTGGCATTGAACAGTGTACATCCCACGCAGGCACAGCCTAAACAGACATCTCACGATGCCAGGCAAGGCAAAGGACACGCTCGACTGGTGAACACAACCAACAAATGTCTACCCAGGAGTCCCATTCCTAACAAGAACTCCAACGATGACAGTCACTACGGACGCCTCTCTGATAGGATGAGGAGCACATTTATTAAACAATACCATCCAGGGCCGATGGTCCCATCAGCGTCCATACTACATATAAACCTGTTAGAATTCAGGGCAGTTCGCAATGCATACAACCACTTTCTATCTCTTATCAAAAACAAAAACTTCAGGATCCTTACGGACAATGTAGCATGATCTACATAAACTGCCAAGGGGGTGCATGATCACAATCCCTATGCACAGAGGAAATACAGGGCTGGAATCGGTGCATCAACAATAACATCCACATATCAGCATCTTACCTTCCAGGGTGCCGAAACACAACAGTGGACATCCTAAGCAGAGACTTTGCACAGACTCCCAAATGGGAAATGGATCCCGGAATTCTACATACGATATTCAGCCTATGGTGATTCCCTACCATAGACTATTTGCAACAGCGCTGAACCCCAAATGCCCGCAATATTGCTGCAATGTGGGACTGGGACCCCCGCTCTCTGGGGGACACTCTCCTTATCAAATGGGATGCACCACTGATGTATGCATTCCCACCGACCCCACTTTTAAATTGGGTCATACACAAGATCAAGAGAGACAAATCCAAGGCAATCCTAATAGTGCCTACATGGACCTCACAAAAATGGTTCCCATACCTTCTACGAATGGCAACACGCCCACCTTCAGCCCTCCCTTAGTACCTCACCTTCTAACTCAGGACACGGGTCACATCCGCCATCTCAACCTCGCAGTTCTCCACCTCAAGGCTTGGTTACTTCATGGCTGAGAGGAGTATTGCTCAACAGTTGCAATCCCACTACAAGAAGGGACTTATGTCTACAAGTGGAAATGGTGCCAGGATAAAAACATCCTACCAACATCTTCCCCTCTACCGAGGGTCTTGGACTACATACTCGAACTTAAAAAATCGGGGCTTTCCAGAAGCTCCATCAAGGAACACTTAGCAGTTATCACCTCTTTACACGACAAAATGGAGAGGAGCTCTATATTTGCCCACTTGATGACTAAACGCTTTCTTAAGGGTATTGAGAACACATACCCCACAGTTACAACTCCCCCCGCCAATGCGTGACCTCAACCTCATCTTACGCGCACACTCATGGGTTAACCATTTGAATCCCTGGTGACATATTTGGTGCTACATTTATCAATGAAGGTGGCTTTCCTTATCGCCATTACGTCTGCCAAACGTGTGGGAGAACCAGGGGCGTTAATGGCACAGCCCCCATACACAACTTTTTTTAAGGACAAGGTCGCCTTAAGACCACATCCCACATTCTTACCCGAAGTCACCCCCCCATTTCACCTTAATCAACTTATCTACTTGTATTTTTTCCAAAACCGCATGCAGATGAAAGGGAAGAATCATTCCACACACTAGACTTTTGCAGAGTTCTTGCTTTCTACATTAACGCAACAAAACCATTCAGAAAATCTACAAGACTATTTGTCTCAATAATGGAACAATCAAAGTGAGAAACTATCAAGATGGAGATCAGGAAGAATCTGTGTTATGAAAACTTTCATCTACCAGTCCCAACGGGCATCCGTACGCATTTGACTAGAGTACTTTCAAAATCAGTAGCCTTCCTCAATAATGTACCTATCATTCACATTTGTAAAGCAGCAACTTGGGCATCAGCCCCTACATTCACAAAACACTATGCCATTGAACAACAATAAGCACTGGATGCTCGCTTTGGACTCATGGTGCTATTCATCATTGCTACAGCAACTCCGAAGCCCCTCCCTTCCACTGAGGGGCACTGCTTAACAGTCACCTAAAGTGGAGCACCCACAGGGACATTCCTCGAAGAAGAGAAGGTTACTCACCTTGTGCAGCAACTGAGGTTCTTCAAGATGGTTGTCCCTGTGGGTGCTCCATTACCCTCCTCCTTTACCCCTCTACTTTGGAGTTTAAAATCGATTCTCTGAGGTAGAGAAGGAACTGAGGAATGGTTGGTTGCACACCACTATGTTACGGCTCAAAACTGTGGAAGATGGCAATGTTGCGTGCATGGCCCAACCAGGCACTGCTATCACAAATCTGCAACTACAAGCGCAGTGTGTCAGGACACGTAAAGTGGAGCACCCACAGGGACAACCATCTCGAAGAACCTCAGTTATTGCACAAGGTGAGTAACCTTCTCTTCTGATAATCAAATCCCTATCACTATTACCTGTCTCTTTCTAATAATTGTTCCCTGCCCTGGAGGGATATCCTCAGTGTGAGAGGATACCATTACATAATCTGGAAGGAGGGTCCCAACGATAGGATTGTTTCCTTCTGCTCCAGCCTTATGCACTCCTTACCTGAGATTTTCATCTTCCTTAACAGTACAGAGGCTGTCAAATTGGGGGTGGGACCACTCTGTTGTGTGCCTGAAAGTCTTGTCTATGTTTCTGTTTCCCTTAGCTCTTCCAGTTCAGCCACTCTGGCCTCTACAGCCTGTACTGTATCTATTGGAGGTCAAGAGTTGCTTGCACTGCATGCGCACACATGCCACCTGCCCACAAGGCAGATAATTGAACATGCCACATTCAGTGTAATAAACTAGATCGCCCCTAATCTGCTCCTGGATTTCTGCCTGCATTATTTTTACTCTTGCAGGGGGGGTTTTGTGTGTGTGTGTTTTGGTTTTGTTTAGTTGGAGGATTGCTTTTTTCGGGGGGGAGGGAGGGGAGTTATTGGTCTAAGTTTAGAGTATGTTTTCTGATTGAATCTGCCTGTCGGTCTCCCTTGCAAAACTCCCATTTGCTGCTTCTGTTCACTAGCTCCTCTGATCACTTAGGAGCTGGCTTTTTAAACTCCTGTTCTCCTTGAGTTAGCCCTGCCCCCTTGTCAAGGGATTCTAGAGGGGTTAGGGTTCAAAGGATAGCAGGCTAGAGGCTCATTAGTAGGCTGCTTGGCTCAGCACACAGCCCCCAAAACAGACCACACTATATTTGTCAATCTACCAAGCACATGGCAAGGAAGCAAGCAGACAAAAACAAACAAATTGAGAAACTCACCCAAGGATAACGTATCTCTCCTCCTTAACCTGGAGAACTCCCTCGCAAAACTCTCTTGTTCCTGTAAATGCCATCCCCCAGAAGTGGTATTTCTGTAATTGCTTATTGAGTTTTAGCCAGCTCAGATTATATAGTAGGTGCTTACTTCCTGGAGTGGGGTAATTCCATTGACTTCACTGGAACTATTCAAGTGAGCATAGGTGTGAACAGGGTTTGGGCCTAAATCATGACCCTTTACTGGTACTTCTTCACATCTATGTAGCTTTGAATGAATCAGGCATTTTAGTACTTTTTTTTCTTTTAAAGTTTCAGGGTGCAAGCAGAAATAGCTCTCATGGTCCTTAGTAGAATTGCACTTACTCATTCCAGTGCTGAATTAAGTTCTCTATATTACTTAGTTCATTTTGTTTTCTTACATTTTAGTGATGAAAATATTTAGGGCAAAATTCTCTCCAGTCCAAGTGGCAAATACCAACTCTGCACATCAAAGAAAATATCAGTGTTCAGATCTACTTTGCAGGTCTGAAGGAAGAATTTTCCCTTGGATTTTCAAGAATATGATTGATTGATTGATTGATATGGCAAAAAGGGACACCATGCCATGATATGATTTAATGAGTCTCAGTTGATTTTTTTAAAATGTCTAAAAGTACTGTCCTATTTAGTCAAAAGCAGGTGGTTGGTTATGTGCATTTGTTATCATTTCAATTCTTCCTTATTAGTTGGTCAAAATGGCTCTGACTTTTCCCTCTGTGCTCCCTACACCAAGATTCTGATCTCACTTATTCTGGTTTTATAATAACAAAATTCCATTGACCTAATTTTACATGGTATAAGTTAGATCAATTTCAATCTGTAAGCTTTAATTTTTATAGTGGCATTTGTCTTTCCAACTTGTTTATGGACAGTTTTTTTGTACCTGGTAATATTTTTCTCCTTCCACCAATATTCCAAATAATGTAACTTCTTGGAGTGCTACATCTCTCCCTGGCAGCATCAAAGTAACTCCAGCTTACGAGTCTTCTCTAAATATGATTTCTTTCCAGACCCCCTTTTTGTTGCAAAGCACACTTGTCTTGGTCCGTGTCTTGCTTTCTTGTTGTAAGCCTTAAGGCGTAAAGAATTCTGCCCTTAGAGATGGGTGGAGTGGGAGTCTCCGTGCCAAATGTCAGTTACTGTAACAAAAATCTAAAGGTTTCCAGTTTGTCTATTAAATCTGATCTATGTGTTAACACAGCAGTTAAATCCTAATTGCCATATTTTTCATCAGTTTTGAAGCTGGTGTGTGTTCTATTTCTGAAAGATTGAATCTGTACAAGAGCCATATTAAAACTGCTTCTTTTTACATGAGCACAATAATATGAATGAACTATTTGTGTAAATTCATACTTAAACCCACAGTGGAACTTTATTTATCTCCACTCAGTAGAGAGCTAATTTGAGACTAGTTAATAAGGTGATATTATATTTTACAATTGATTTTTTTCAGTCATGTTATAGAAACCGTAGCTCTGCTTCCCAGCAAAATCCATTGATCCTTCTCAACCTAAACGTTTAAAGTTCAATTTAGCATTTAGGGAGTAAAAGGTTTCTGAAGGGACTCGTATCCATTGATTTTGTGTCAGAGTTGAAGAGCTAAAGTTTAAAACACACTGAGCCTACAGGGTAAAGAAAGCCTTGTATTCTTGTAGCCACATGGAGCTGTGTAAACTCATTCTTTGCCTATTGTTTTTCTGTAGAGGTTACAATAAAAGCGCTTAAAGAGAAAATCAGAGAATATGAACAGACCCTGAAGAACCAAGCAGAGAATATAGCTCTTGAAAAAGAACAAAAATTACAAAATGACTTTGCAGAGAAGGAGAGGTGAGTGTTTGTGCGTGTAGGTGTTGTATGGAGGGAAGGAAATCATATTTTTCTGCTTAATCTTCCCAACTAGGGTCCTTCCTTCAGTTCATTGAGACAGCTCATACATTGAATCATTCTAGTGATTTGTTTGACACAGAATCATTTGATACTCAGTTTTACACAGAAAGACAATTGTGCAAGTGAATAAGTGAAACAAGGACAGATTGTTACTTCACTGCACTGATGTATTTGGGATGTTACTTTCAGAAGAGTGCAAACCTACTTTTATTCTTCATTAGTTGGATTGTCCTTTGTGACGCTAATCTTTCTCCATTAGTTGACAATGTAATTCAGTCAGTCTTGTGTGTCACAGTACCATTGTACATCAGTTCAACACAGAGCATTTTCTGAGGAAATATTGTATCCAGCAATATGGATACCTACTTGCATGGTAACAGGAATCTGGCAGTGAGGCAGAGCTCTGTGTATCTCACTCAGAACTTAATTTTGAAGAGAGGTTGCATGCTCCTATATCTCAAAATAATATGTAATTAATTTCTCACTTAATTATTGATTTTTTTTTTAAAGCAAACTTGGAAGCATTTCCAATTTTTCAAAAGCTAGCAATATCTAACTAAAAACCTTTTCTATAATTGAGATTACCTGTCAGGGAAGTTAGACTGTATATTATAGAAGAGAGTGTTCACAGGTTGTTTTCCAGTGATGAACCCTCAACTTAGGTACCCCTCATTTAGTCCAACAGTGGCTGGATCTGCGAATCTTCAGTACATACTTCAAGGCAGACCATTTTCCTAGGCTGCTTGTGTGGGTGGTTGGATTGATCATTTAAATTAAGGTATGAGTGGGATGAAGCTACATGTGAACTGGGACATACTTTTTAAAAATCAATATTTTATAGTTACTTTTTGTTGTATAATAGGACCAAAGTTTCTTGTTTCTATCAAATCCAGTTTACTTACACACACACACACACACACACACACACACACACACACACACACACACACACACACACAGTATAGACTAGT